AAGGCGCTTGGGGGCGGGGCGAGGGTTGATCCAATGAGAGGAGAGAAGGCGCTTGGGGGCGGGGCGAGGGTTGATCCAATGAGAGGAGAAAAGACACTTGGGGGCGGGGCGAAGTTCTGACCAAATCAGAGCAGAAAAGGCGCCTGGGGGCGGGGCCTGGGGCTGATCCAATCAGAGCAGAAAAGACGCCTGGGGTCGGGGCACTGCAGGGGGCGTGGCTAGCGGTTGATCCAATCAGAGCACAAAAGGCGCTTAGGGGCGGGGCGCCCCGTAGGGGCTGGGTTGGTGGAGGTCAGCTGCGGGGTCAAGTTCATGTGAGGGAGGTACGGGCGGAAGCTGGAGTTTGCAATGAGTCCGGGAGGGAGGCCGAGGCGGGAGGCCCGCTCTGGAGGCCAGGAGTCGGAGGCCGCTGTGAGCGAGGCTGACCCCAGGCTACTCACTCCAGCCCGGGCGTGGAGGCGCATGCCTGTCTTCCCAGCTACTTCTCGGGAGGGAGGCCGAGGCGGGAGGCCCGCTCTGGAGGTCAGGAGTCGGAGGCTGCTGCGAGCGAGGCTGAGGCCACGGCCACTCACTCCGGCCCGGGCGTGGAGGCGCACGTCTGTCGTCCCAGCTACTACACACTCGGGAGGGAGGCCGAGGCGGGAGGCCCGCTCTGGAGGCCAGGAGTCCGAGGCTGCCATGAGCGAGGCTGACCCCAGGCCACTCACTCCGGCCCGGGCGTGGAGGCGTGTGCCTGTCGTCCCAGCTACTACACACTCAGGAGGGAGGCCGAGGCGGGAGGCCCGCTCTGGAGGTCAGGAGTCGGAGGCTGCTGCGAGCGAGGCTGAGGCCACGGCACTCACTCCAGCCCGGGCGTGGAGGCACACGTCTGTCGTCCCAGCTACTTCTCGGGAGGGAGGCCGAAGCGGGAGGCCCGCTCTGGAGGCCAGGAGTCCGAGGCTGCCATGAGCAAGGCTGACCCCAGGCCACTCACTCCGGCCCGGGCGTGGAGGCGTGTGCCTGTCGTCCCAGCTACTTCTCGGGAGGGAGGCCGAGGCTGGAGGCCCGCTCTGGAGGCCAGGAGTTGGAGGCCGCTGTGACACCCGGTGGTGTTTAGTGTCACACGCGGCCCTCGAGGTGGCGATTTGCGCTGTCCCCAACCGAGAAAATGACCGGGACGAGAAGAGCAGCCTCCAGCCTCCACACGCGGCAAACACGATAATTGCATGTTTTTTCCCTCTGAAAACCCAATTGCGTAGACTTTCTCCGGGTGCGCGTACAGCGAGTTCTGGCACGGCTTCCTCCCGGATTTGGTTTGATTTTTTTTTTTTTTTGGAGTCAGAGTCTCGCTCTGTCGCCCGGGCCGGAGTGAGAGCCGTGGCGTCAGCCTCGCTCACAGCAGCCTCCGACTCCTGGCCTCAATCAAGCGAGCCTCCCGCCTCGGCCTCCCTCCCGAGAAGTAGCTGGGACGACAGGCGCGCGCCACCACGCCCGGCTCGTTTTTTCCTTTTTTACTTGTTTGGCTACTTTCTTTCTAATTTTTTTTTTTATTAGAGACGGGGTCTCGCTTTTGCTCTGGCTGGTCTCGAACTCCTCAGCTTGAGCGAGCCTCCTGCATCAGCCTCCCTCCCGAGTAGCTGGGACGACAGGCATGCGCCACCATGTGCCTGGCTCATTTTTTCTATATATTTTTACTTGTCCAGCTAATTTCTTTCTATATTTTAGTAGAGACGGGGTCTCCCTCTTGCTCAGGCTGGTTTCGAACTCCTGACCTCGAGCGATCCTCCCGCCTCGGCCTCCCTCCCAAGTAGTAGCTGGGACTACAGGCATGCGCCACCACGCCCGGCTCATTTTTTCTATATATTTTTAGTTGTCCAGCTCGTTTCTGTCTTTTTAGTGGAGACAGGGTCTCGCTCTTGCTCAGGCTGGCCTCCAACTCCTGACCCTGAGTTATCCTCCCGCCTCGGCCTCCCTCCCGAGTAGCTGGGACTACAGGCATGCGCCAACACGCCCGGCTCGTTTTTTCTATATATTTTCAGTCTGCCACTTAATTTCTTTCTATTTTTAGTAGAGACGGGGTCTCGCTCTTGCTCAGGCTGGCCTCCAACTCCTGGCCTCGAGCGATCCTCCCTCTTCGGCCTCCCTGAGTGCTGGGATGACAGGCGTGAGCCTCCGCACCCTGAATTCTGCTATATGAGAGATTTGTCCATTCCTTCCCATTTCTTTGTTTATTCAAACATTTATTTATATCAACACGGACGTATGAATATTTATTCTGTAATCCAATTATTTCTGAGTTATAATTGATTTCTACACTATTTATTTAGTTGTTTAATTGTTTCAACAATGGGAACTTTTTCACTTAGTTCCTGTGTCCTTCCAAATACTCCCACCAATTTTTTATTTTTATTTTTTGAGGCAGAGTCTCGCTCTGTCGCCCGGGCTAGAGTGAGTGCCGTGGCGTCAGCCTCGTTCACAGCAGCCTCCACCTCCTGGCCTCCAGCGATCCTCCCGCCTCGGCCTCCCTCCCGAGTAGCTGGGACTACAGGCACGCGCCTCCACGCCCGGCTCAGTTTTTCTATATATTTTTAGTTGTCCAGCTCATTTCTTTCTAT